GAGCGGCTGGGCCCGTGAGCCATGGCCGCTGAGCCTGCGCGTCCGGAGCCTGTGCTCCGCAACGGGAGAGGCCACAAAAGTGAGAGGCCCGCGAACCGAAAAAAAAAAAAAAAGTAAAAAAAAAATGATGGCTTAGATATACACTGGTTGACATAGAAAGATATTCTCAATGTATTGGATTGAGTTATTTAAACAGCATGTTATAAAACACTATAAATATTCAAATGTTCTAATCTATTTTACAATGTCTTCATTACTTTTTAGTTACTTTTGTAATAAAATAACTAGTCGTATTGTGGATAATAGATAAATGAGCAAAGTACTGAGATAATTCACAAATGAAGAAATAAAAATGGCCAATAGGGACTTCCCTGGTGGCACAGTGGTTAAGAATCCACCTGCCAATGCACGGGACACAGGTTCGTGCCCCGGTCCGGTAAGATCCCACATGCTGCAGAGCGGCTGGGCCCGTGAGCCATGGCCGCTGAGCCTGCGCGTCCGGAGCCTGTGCTCCGCAACGGGAGAGGCCACAACAGTGAGAGGCCCGCGTACAGCGAAAAAAAGCAAACCGATGGTTGTTGTCTGCCTTGTCTGGTTGCAGGATAATGGAGCAGTAAGGCAGAACAGGGAGCAGAGCCTGAAAGCAGGCGCAGTACTTACTTGGCTGCGAAACACAAGGCCTGAAACCACCCCCTCCTTTTTTTTTTTTATTATTCACATTTAAATGAGCAAACTACTAAATCTGAGGGAGCCTGCATAAAAAGATAAAAAGCAATCTTCTGAAAAGTCCACTTTAAAAAGGCAACACTGATTTCATATGAATAAAAAAAAAATCCCAGCTATTGAAGCCCATGAATTTAGTATCAGAGACTAAGTTAAAAAAAAAAACACAACAAACTGGCCTATTTATTTCATCAAATGTATGTTTCCTTCAAGCGAATGCAATCTGGTCCAGGAACTCTGAGATGCAGGCTCCCCGCTCCCCTCCACCACCAAATTGCTAACTGCCAAATTAATTCCGTTTTCCATCTAGCAAAACGCATTTCAGAGTTTCTCTCCCACATTTGTGAAGATGGATGGAAGTGTTCACATATTTCACACTGCAATCTGCGGCAAACGCTAGACTTTGTTGCGCGCAAAAAGGTCCTTAATGCTGGCTGTTCACCCCAATCACTCATGCTCCCCTCGTGGTGTCAATTCAGCTCCTGGATAGACACAGGGACCTACATATTTGTTTTGATCTAGAGACGAAGGACTGCTGTAGAACGATCCCCACTCTGTGTACCTAGGTGGGAGAACTTTGAGTCACATCTGAAAATGAATGCAATACTGTAGTCAAAAAGAAAGAAACTTAAATCGATGATCAAATACTTCTCACAGATATCACTTACTTGGGTTCTGGGGGAAAAGAGTACAGCTTTTGCAGTGGATTATTTCTTTGACGACAGCCACTTCTGTTGGCGGGGGTGGTACCAGCCCCAGGCCTGGTATCATTGGGTTAATAGGGGTGATCCCAGTCATCATGTTGAGGCCTGGATCAAAGCCTGGTACACAGATTGAGTCTGTAAAGTACACAAGATATCATTTTGGCTGGAGGATCTTAAACTGGTTTTTGTTGTTACTTTTGCTGTTTTCCTGCAAAGATGATTTGACTTTATGCTTCCTATGTTTTAGGAATTTCTGCTGGCATAAATATAGCAATATAGAAAGCTATTTCAGAAAGGTAAAGAGAAAATAAAAGATGAACTTAATACCACATGGAAAGGAAGCTGTATTATTTAAAATATTAACATGGCAGAACAGGACACAGCATATTCAAGTGTAAAAGCACGCACCATGAAGCTTTGCTGTTACCGTGAACGTGATTTTCTGTTTCTTAACTTTGATGTAGATGTGACTGCCTTATGACCCAGGATGTGGGAAGAATATCATTTAACACTGAAGTGCCCAGTGAATACAACTGTCAACCCAGTTTTGTCAAAAGAGCCTTCTTACCCAAGTGACCTCGATTTAAGAAAGTTCAGTTTATATGTGCATACTTTATAATGATGCATTCAGGTCCAACCTAACCTATTCCCCTCAGGAAACAAAAAACAAAGAGTGATTATAATTACTAAGGCTGGGTTAGACACATGCGGGCATAATGTTAGCTGTATACATTTCTGAGTTCTATTGGATAATCACACGTTCTTCCTATAATTCAATCAGCAAATAATTGACCACCCTTCTGAAATCTTTATTTGTTGTATAAAAAATACAAATTTACGCCCTGCATAAAAAATGGAAGGGCACAAAAAGGGTGGGTTTTCCAATATAAACACTGAATTTTATTTTTTTAGTGGGATAATAAAGCAAGTCATTTCAAAAGTGATATACAGGGATTTTTTTTGATTTTTTTTTTAAATTAGTAAGACCTTTCTAAGAGTAGGGACTGTTAAGATGTATTGAGTTTCTAGAGTAGCTGCAAGGGGATCCCTCTCCTGAGAATTTTTCTGTTTTCAGAAAACATACTCTCATTGGTGGTGTGATACTGTTCGGAGGTAGACAAACAGAAGCACAGATGCCCCCCAGCAGTAGCCGTGGTGACCCTCCACTATAGTTCTCAGGGATGAAATTTCTTTCTCTTGTTCTCCTTTTCTCCCCATTATTCTAGACCATTCCCATTCTTCCCTCCCACCCCCTGTCCTTTGTGGTTCTCACGTCCAGCCAGCCCGTGCCTTAGGCCCCTGCGTGGCCTCACCCTTTGCTTACCTGTGCTGAAAGGTCAGATAAGCCCAGAGGCAGGTGAAGTGACAACTACAGACTGTGTTTACCAAGACTCTCCAGGGGATACAGAGGACCAGCATGGACTTTTCCTTTCTAGGAAGAAGTTTATTATAGCTTTTCCTCCAGCTGCTTTGGGTATTTCCATTCCTCTTCTGGATCGAACAGAATAAGCAGGGTGATCCTGATTTATAAGCTCAAGAGGACTGCTGTCCCATTTATGAGGAAATCCATTTAATTTGACTGCATACCAGCCTTACTTCAGGAAAATGAGGTGGGGTTTTGGGTTTGTTTCTTGGTTTTGGCCTTTTTTAAGAAACCCTCAGTGTAAATGTCAAATAAGCATTCTCTTTCAAAGCAGTCACCCTGACATTCGAGGTACTTCTATAATTATGGTTCTCAGGTTCTTCGTCTCTCACACGGGGCTTCTGAGTGGATAATCTCTTGGAGCACTAGCCTCCTAGGACTCCAGGATTCTTCACTGATAATTGTTCAAAACAAAGTGAAGTACAAATGACATAAAAGTTTGGAAGTGACAGAGGCAGGACTCACACTTTGGTTATTCGTTTGAAATCTTCATCAAGTTTCACAGGTGTTATTCCCATTTCACAGCTAAAGTAATCGAGGCTTAAAGCAGTAAAGTAAAATTTCCATCATCACAAAGCAAACAAATGGCAGAGTCAGAACTAGGGTCCAGGTCTCTGGCTCCGGATATAAAAACATCTCTTTTAACCACTTCGAAGTTTCCACCTAGAATGACCCAACTAGATCACTGACCTAATAACATGCCACTACCACAAATGTACTCTACTCTTTAAAACAAACCAAGATGTAGCCTTCTGATCCCGATGCCAATTCTAAAGGGGAGCTCCAGAACAGCAGAATGGCTTCCAATGTCAACATCACTGAAATAACACATTGGCTTCTCAGGAGGATATATCAGAAACAGAAATATTGGTAATGGGAATACTGGCATGCTGATGCCTTTATTTAATCTCATTCCGTAAATGAGATTGGTCTGTTCCTTTCCTGGCCCGGCCCTTACTATTGTTTGCCAATACAGGGTGATTTAAGGCTGAAACCACTCAGGACCGCATGAGAGCTCCGTGAATTACAATAACCAGATGTTTCCCAAAATGAGACGAGAAGCCCAGTTCTTGCATTCTCTTTTAGTTGTAGCAGGCTTATGTTTTCTTTTTGAAGCCCAAATAAATAAACACATCTTCAGGAATGGAGACAAAAGATACTACTCTTGAGCAAAATATTTGAATACAGAGCAAGAGTTACTTTGCTTTTTCTGAGACATTAATACAAAGAGACTGTGGGGTTGAATGAAATCTGCATGGTGAGTGTAGTAGCTTGAAAAGAGCTTAGCAAGGAATTAACACTTAAATTATGCTGAACATCAAAGGATCTGAGATTCAGTATTTGAGAGGAAGAAGTGGGAAGGATTAGACTTTAAAAAAAAGTATGAACCCATTACTTTTTAACAATATATGAACAGATGAAAATTGTTTTCTCCAAGAGCACAGGAGGATCTCACCAGGCACCTGCCAGCAGCGTCTTCCAGCTTCCACAGGGTAGGAGTTTTTGAGTGTGGCTGCTGCTAGGCTACTATCTGTGTCCCCAGCAGGAGACACAGCCACCCCCAGCCTCTCCAGGAGACTCTCCAAGATCAGCAGAATGCACCCTTTGAAGACCTTCAAGATGGCGGAAGAGTAAGACGTGGAGATCACCGTCCTCCCCACAAATACATCAGAAACACATCTACATGTGGAACAGCTCCCACAGAACACCTACTGAAGGCTGGCAGAAGACCTCAGACCTCCCAAAAGGCAGGAAACTCCCCACGTACCTGGGTAGGGCAAAAGAAAAAAGAGTAAACAGAGACAAAAGGATAGGGACGGGACCTGCACCAGTGGGAGGGAGCTGTGAAGGAGGAAAGGTTTCCACACACTAAGAAGCCCCTTCGCAGGTGGAGACTGCGGGTGGCGGAAGGGAAGCTTCAGAGCCACGGTGGAGAGCACAGCAGCAACACGAGTGCGGAGGGCAAAGCGGATAGATTCCCGCACAGAGGATCGGTGCCGACCGGCACTCACCAGCCCGAGAGGCTTGTCTGCTCAACCGCCGGAGCGGGCGGGGCTGGGAGCTGAGGGCTTCGGTCAGAGCGCAGGGAGAGGACTGGGGTTGGCGGCCTGAACACAGCCTAAAGGGGGTTAGTGTGCCACAGCTAGCCGGGAAGGAGTCCGGGGAAAGGTCTGGAGCTGCCAAAGAGGTAAGAGACCATTGCTTCGGGGTGCGCAAGGAGAGGGGATCCAGAGCACCGCCTAAACAAGCTCCAGAGACGGACGCGAGCCGCGGCTATCAGCGCGGACACCAGAGACGGGCATGTAAACGCTAAGGCTGCTGCTGCCGCCACCAAGAGGCCTGTGTGCGAGCACAGGTCACCGTCCACACCTCCCCTCCCGGGATCCTGTGCAGCCCGCCACTGCCAGGGTCCCATGACCCAGGGACAACCTCTCCGGGAGAACGCACGGCGCACCTCAGGCTGGTGCAACGTCACGCTGGCCTCTGCCGCCGCAGGCTCACCCCGCACTCCGTGCCCCTCCCTCCCCCTGGCCTGAGTGAGCCAGAGCCCCCGAATCAGCGGCTCCTTTAACCCCGTCCTGTCTGAGCGGGAACAGATGCCCTCAGGCGACCTACACGCAGAGGCGGGTCCAAATCCAAAGCTGAACCCCGGGAGCTGTGCGAACACAGAAGAGAAAGGGAAATCTCTCCCAGCAGCCTCAGGAGCAGCGGATTAAATCTCCACAATCAACTGGATGTACCTGCATCTGTGGAATACCTGAATTGACAACCAATCATCCCAAAATTGAGGAGGTGAACTTTGTGTGATTTTGTCTGTATAGCTTTGCTTTTACCATTTGTCCTAGGGTTCTGTCTGATTTTTTTTTTTTTTTTCAGTATAGTTCTTTAGCGCTTGTTATCATTGGTGGATTTGATTTTTGGTTTGGTTGCTCTCTTCTTTCTTTTTTTCTTCTTTTTATTACTTTTTAATTTTCTTTTATTTTTAATAATTGCTTTTAAATTTTTTATTTTAATAACTTTATTTTTTTCCTTCTTTCTTTCTCCCTTTTCTTCTGAGCCATGTGGCTGACAGGATCTTTGGTGCCCTGGCTGGGTGTCAGGTCTGTGTCTCTGAGGTGGGAGAGCCGAGTTCAGGACATTGGTCCACCAGAGACCTCCCGGCTCCACGTAATATCAAACAGTGAAAGCTCTCCCAGAGATCTCCAGCTCAATGCTAAGACCCAGCTCCACTGAACAACCAGCAAGCTCCAGTGCTGGACACCCTATGCCAAACAACTAGCAAGACAGGAACACAACTCCACCCATTAGCAGAGAAGCTGCCTAAAATCATAATTAGGTCACAGTCTCCCCAAAATACACCACCAGACATGGCCCTGCCCACCAGAAAGACAAGATTCAACCTCATCCACCAGAACACAGGCACCAGTCCGCTCCACCAGGAAACCCCCACAATGCACTGAACCAACCTTAGCCACTGGGGGCAGACACCAAAAACAACAGGAACTACAAACCTGCAGACTGCGCAAAGGAGACCCCCCAAACACAGTAAGAGAAGCAAAATGAGAAGACAGAGAAACACACAGGAGATGAAGGGGCAAGGTAAAAACCCACCAAACCAAACAAATGAAGAGGAAATAGGCAGTCTACCTGAAAAAGAATTCAAAGTCATGATAGTAAAGATGATCCAAAATCTTGGAAATAGAATGGAGAA